GAGACCAGAACAATAAACGCGGCTGCTGCTCCTTCTTGCCTTGGAAACGTGCTATTTAACGGTGACGTGGGTGACTCACGCACGCAGGGGAGAGCGTGACTTCTCAGCAAAGCCCATGGTTACCCCAAAATACGTGCCCTTCCTGTGTCTCCCCCACCGCCGTCCTGCGCGCTCTCTCCTCCCGGGCGTCCTCCGTGAGCTGCTCTCTGCAGATCTGCAGATTTCCACGGCACCGCTCAGGAACCGGCAGGAATTAATGAGCCCATTTGTACCGACGCGGGCTCCGGGCAGCGCCAGCTGCCGATGACTCGCGAGGCTGATTCCGGCTGGCAAACAGGCCTGCGGGCGCTGCCCCTCCGTCCACCTGCACAGCCGGGCTGGCCATGCACTTTTTAAATCCCCACCTAAGGGTGTGTTCACTGATTTCAAGGAGAGAGGAGTTGGGGGGAGGGGGCATCGATGTGACAGAGAAACAGCCATCAGTTGCCTCCCACACGCACCCCAACTGGGGACTGAACCCGCAGCCTTGCGCTGTACAGGGTAATGCTCCAACCGACCAAGCCACACCGGCCAGGGCGACAATGCATTTTTTTTATACTCAAAAAAAGCACACATGGCCCTGGCCGGTGTGGCTCAGGGGCCACGGCGTCGGCCTGCAGACTGGAGGGTCCCGGGTTTGATTCCTGCCAAGGGCATGCACCTCGGTTGCAGGCTCGATCCCCGGCCCTGGTTGGGGCACGTGCAGGAGGCAACCGATCGATGGGTCTCTCTCACATCCATGTTGCTCTCCCCCCCCCCGAAAAGCAATGGGAAAAATATCCTCAGGTGGGGTTTAAAAAAACTTTCATGTTCATGAACACCTCCCAAACCCCACCTCCCCACACACCCTCACTACCTTGTGCAGGGACCCTGTGAAGCCAGGGAGCTAAGAGTCCTCACCAGGTGGGCAGTTTGCCCAGGACCCGAGCTCAGCCTGGCAGGTGAGGTTTGTAGGCCAAAATCAAGGAAAAATAGACCAGCTGTGTGAGCAGATGTCCCTCAACAGCCACGGGGCTGAGTGGGAACACCTGACCACCCAACGCTGACACTCAGCCTCACAAAAACGGGGCCTGGCACAGAGCTCACAGGAAGAGGCTCCCTGGGCACCTGCCATCTGCTCCCTGACCAGGTCATAGCGAGAGGACAGTCTTCTGAGATACCCGCCCCTCTTCCTTTCACGTCAAAGGGAATTGATGCTACCATCAGTCCTGTGATGGACGGCCCATTGATTCTCCCCCACACACTCTAAGCTTAAAGAAGTAAAAACAAAATTCTTTACAGAAGTGTCTTGGAAAAAGCTGCCCCCAGGGCACACACATAAAACCAGTGTCTCTGTGATAAGAAGTCCCGTGTGACGTCCCTGGAGCGTGGTGAGCATGGCCTAAGCGTGGCCCCCACCTCTGAAGTGGGGCCAGAGGTCTCACCACCTCAGTCACCACATGAAAAGATGCTATGAAGCAACAAGCAATTGTTAACACCAGTGTTTGCAGAGGACCTACTGTTTGCTAAGCACTAAGGACATAGGATGAGAGCCGTCAGCCAGAATCCCAGCAGGGGGAATGGACGGATGCAGCCCCTCCCAGGCAGAACAGAGCGAGGGTGGGGACAGGGCACCCAGAGGCAGGGCAGGAGGTATTTATTCCCAAGCCTAGAGAAAGTAGCTTCATCCATTCAACAAAAGAACCAGAAACTTTAGTATAGACACTGAGGTGTGAGGGAGCCATGGAGGCCCTGGCTCTCCGTGGACGTGGTGCGCCCATGTGAACCATGTGAGTGAGCCATGATGGATATTCCAGCAGTGGGCTCAGGCCTGGGTAGCTGCCCTTGTAGGTCCCCCATGTGCCGACCAGCACACCCCCATGAGAAACAAGACAGGGAAGGCCACCTACTGATGAGCTCGATCTTCCCGTTGCTCTTCACGTGGTAGAAGGACACAGATATCCGAGGGGCCTCTCCGTGCAGCACTGCGAACTTGCTCCCATTAGGCTCCCAGGCAAAGGCGATGATGGGCTCTGTGACAGAGAAAGCACTCCCGTCAGTCAGAGCAGAGCCTGAGTCTCACGGTCATTAAAGGACCGAGGAGCAGAGGAATGACGGCGCACCCGGCATGGAGACCACAGCAGTGCGTTTGACCAAGGCGAGGCTCGTGCGCCATCCTCCTGGCCCAGTGGAAACTCCCGCCCACAGTGGGCTGTGCGGAGGAGCCTGAGCCGTTGTGGCCTGTGGACGTGTCCTTTCCTACCCTCCCGTGGCACTTACAGAATTCCACAGCCTTTAAAGGGCTCTCCTCCCAGGGCAGAAGGCCAGGCCCTGCATGCTCTTCTCTCCCTGTGCTTTCCCCTCCCTTCCTCCTCCTCTCCAGCAAAACAGAAAACAAAACAAAGGACACAGGCTAACTTTGCCATTGAAAGGCAGAAACACAGCATGTGAACATGCCCTGGGTCCAGAGAAACCCCTCAAATGGAAACTTGTGCGTGACGGGCCCTGTAGCTGCCTGTGGCTGAGAATCCTTGCTCCTGCGCTCCGTGAGCAGTCACAGTAGTGAGAAAAGTGGGGGGAGTTTCCCCTGGCCATTGGAAAAGTTAAGAGACTGAAGTTGGAAAGGACAAGAAAATCCCTAAACTTAGACTGTTCTGTAACTTGGGGGCCCAAGGCCGTTCATTACTCTGAGAGTGAGCTGGGTCTTGGCATTTGCCCAGGTGGGGCTCACACCAGTTCCAAAGGCCACATGTGACACCACACACACGGACACAGCCACAGAGGACCCCAGTGGAACTTGCCTTTCATTTCCACCACATCGACAGGTACCTGCTTTTCCCTCATTCGGAAAATTTCAAAATTTGTGACAACACCCTGTAAAAAAGAAAGGGGGGGATAATAATGTGAAAACCTAACATGAAAAATACTTAATTGACACTCTCGTCATGACACACGACCCTCAGGTGCCAATGGACACAGGGATGGGACTACCTTGGGAGAACTGGGCACACGCGTGCATGGGAGCACACGCACACACACACACACTCTCTCTCTCTCTCTGGTCCTGACTCCACTACAAAGAACTGCACTAAAGGTCACATTCACGCGCAAAAGGATCATGGACCTGCAGCCTGCCTGCAAGTTTCTGCCATGAGTGCCCTACAGGTCCACCAAGGGCCCAGGTCAGTCCTTCTAAACAGTGGGCTTTCCTGTATCAACACCTCCACGGCACCTGTGTGGAAGGCGGTGCTGTCCTACCCAGAACAGTCACAAGTGGAAACAGCCCACATGTCCATCAGCAGCCAACCAACTCAGCATGGTGTGGGGACAACCACGCAGTGGGGGGAGCCCTGAGGACAGGCTCAGGAAAGGCAGCCAGACAAGAAAGGCCACACACTCTGATTCCATTCCTTTGCACCATCCAGAACAGGGAGATGCAGACAGAGAGGGAGGAGGCAGAGGGGAGTGTTGGGAGCCAGGGGGAAGGAAGTATAGGATGGGGGACTGCTGACAGGGTGGACTTTCTTTCCAGGGTGGTGAAAATGTCCTGGGATTAAGACAGTGGTGACTGCGTTGCACAAGTTTGAAAGCCACTATCTCTCCCACTCAGAGTTTTACAGATAAACGACACTCCTCAGTTGGAATACGGCCAGGGCTCTGGCTATGACGTGCCAGCCAACTACTCCTGTTATCAGAGGGATCTGAAGATAACCTACAACTTCAAACCAAACATCCACTAACATCCTTCACAAGGAACAGACGCCAGTCTGGAGCTGTGTACCAGGACGCCTCTGTCCACGGGTACCCCTTACCTGGGTGCCTTTTGGAGTCCTATCTACTTTGACACACAAGTAGTCTCCGTTTTTCTGCCAGTGCAGCTTACAATCCACGACATTGAACAGGTTCCTGACTCGGATCTCCTGTCTGCTGGGGAGCTGCATCAGGGTGACCCGCGCTGGGATATCCTTGTCTTCAGGTACCCAAAAGGCTATTATGTTACCACCAGGAGACCAGGAAAAGTCTCTGCAGGAAAAAGAAAACAAACCGTCACAGAAGGACTGGCTGAGCGCTAAAAAGAGCAGTGCTCACTGGCTGTGCGGAGGCTCAGCAGCTGACCCTCTGTTGGGAGCTCACTGCAGGGTGCTGCTCTAGGGGCCACTCAGCTCATTTCACCCTTGCGACAGCCCCGGGCACTAAACTCTCTGCCAGGGAGGAAAGACAGACACTGACAGTGTCGTCTGCTGCCACACAGCCCCTCAGCCGGGATCCAAACCCGCTTCTGACCACTCCCTGCACTGCCGGCAGGTACAATTCCTTTGAGGCTGACGGGCCCGGCCGGCTACATGATATGATTCCCGAGAACCCACTAGGATGCTGAGAGGGAACCGCACACCAGTAAGGGTGGAGCAGAGCAGCAGGAAGACCCTGGAGAAGGAGAGGGGGCTGGACAGGATGACTCGTAAGCCCATGCCATGAGGAACATCTTTACTTCTGCCTTTATAAGAATCAAGTCCTGGTTTTATTTTTAACATAAGCCGTAATTTTACCCAAGAATGTAAGGAAGAAGAAACGTGACTACCCCTGCACAGTGGGCACTTCACAGTGGAGACACTGGCTCACCCAGAGGCTTCAGAGGAAGAAAACGGGCCACTCTGACAAAGGAGCTGCTACTCGCCTGAGACCACCAAATCCACTACACGGTCACCCGAGAACACAGAAGACGTGTCACTAGGTGGAGTCCCTGCTCCACTGTGGCCCTCAGGAGGTGCCGTGTGCAGGGAAGGGACACGCCCAGGTGGCACAGGCAGCAGCCCTGGGCTGCCTGGTGCCTGGAACAAGGATAGCGCTTTCTCCATGGTGTGGGGCCCAGGGCTTGGCGCGGAGAGCAGGTGACAGCAGCCTGGAGGCATAGCCACTTACTTGATGCCAGAGATCTTCAAGCTCTTCTTGTCCAGGAGACCCATAGACTGCAGAAGAAACAGGTGCAATGGACTCAAATCAGGCCAATGTCTCAATCACACAACTTGTTTACAAAAAGGCAACCAGAGGTTCTGATGTGAGCTTGCTGGGACGGGGCAGTGTGAGCACAGAGGATGAACAGACAAACACTGAACAGTTCACACTTCCCAGCCACCTCTGTCCCCAGCCCTCTGCAGCATAACAAGGGGCCGGCAGAGAGCAACCAGACAAGGACATGAGAACCGAAACCGGCCCCCACTCTACACACACAGTTCCCCTATTTCAGCCATCACAGGTCAAGGGAAAACTCCCACCCTCAGCCAATAGCTCATCCTGCAGTAATGAAACCACTCACAGGAGTTTCATAGATGCTGAGGGTGTCGAGTGTCATTCTGGCAAAGAATTTACCATCATGGCTCCACCTGAGAAGAGAGAAAGACCAGTGCCAGGCTCTGCCCACCAGCAGGCCCGAGAGGTCGCCAGGCTCCCACCGTCCACCTACTTGAAAATAGGCCAGTGGGCTGAGCTTTCACAGTGAAAGCCTCTCTTCTTCTGGCCAGTAAGGATGTCCCAGATGATGATGGCCTGAGGGTCGTCCTGTGTGTCCATCAGGGGGCTGAATGTCACCAGGTATCTAACAGAGGGGGACACAGTTTACTAATTTTCTTTCTTTCTCATGTGTTTTTATTGGGTTTTTTTAGAGCGAGAGGAAGGGAGAGGTAGAGAAACATCGATGAGAAACATCCATCGACTGCCTCCTGCACGCTCCCTACTGGGGGATTGAGCCCACAACCCAGGAAGATGCTCCATGACTGTGGGCCATGGCCTTCAAACTCCTTGTGTTCCATGCCCCCCTCACCCCCAAGCTGGGCTACTCGGACTATTACACACAGGAGGGACGGTCATTCACAAGAAAATTATCTGTAAAATACATGATCTTGGACTAGATCCTGAGCTGAAGGAGAAAATTTTACAGAGGACGTCTCTGGACCAAGTGACTATGCTGGAACAGCAAGTCAATGTTAAATCTCCTGAAGTTAACAACTGCCCGCGGCTGTAGGGGAACTTCCACTCCTGGGAAATGCACACTCGGGGAAAAGGGACGTGATCCTTCCCCCGACTCTCACATGGCTCATGAAAACACTATGTCCATGTGTTTGGAGAGAAAACGAGAAAGCAACACAACCACATGTGAACTGGGAGCTCGGTGCACAGCACACGGGAGAAGGGAGTTCTCCATACTCCTCTAGCCATTTCTAAGTGTGAAACTACTGCAAAATAAAAAGGTGTTAAAGTTACCTGCAGGAGGACGGCAGGAGCTGAAGGGAACAGATTCCACCTGTTTTTTAAGGGCTTACCTTTCACAAGGTGAGAAGTCAATGAGCTGAACCCCCTGGTGGCTGAATCTCTGAATCTGTTTGAATTTCTCTCCCCCCCAGAGAGCAATGCCTCGCTGATGGAAGGTCGCCAGGTAGGTGCCCTTAGGAGACCAGCGCACGTATGTCTCTGTCCACCGCTGTGGAGAAAGTCAAGCCCACATTAACGCGACAGCATAGCCACACACACACTTCTCCTTCTATAAGGAATCTGCCCTCAAGCTCTCCAACGAAACACACGAGAAGCCTGTTCCCATCTCCTGATTACTTCGGAGCTGAAAGAACGAAGCAGCTGTTCTCAGAGATGGATCCCGGAGACCAGGACACCTCACCTTCTCTTGCACCCAGTCCCCCCACCCACAGCAAACACCCACCGCTCTCTCTTCGATGGAGACAGGATCCTTCACGTCGTTCCAGAAGATGGAGGTGCGGTCCCCGCTCTCAAAGATCACACTGTACTGATCTCGGCACTCCGCCTCCTCAAGCCAGTAACGCAAGTTCCCCTAGAGAGAGAGCCAAAAGCAGACTTCGTTACTTTTCGTCAGAGAAGACTCATTCGTGTACCTACTGCTCTTGGAGGCTGACACACTCCATTGGTATCTCTAACCCCGAGGAGTTCTCCACTTTCAAGCCAGAGGCCAGCCAGCCCTTCCTTCTACCACTCAGATACCAATTCCATACAACGCACCAAGTCTTTGAAGGGCTGTTTCTCTGGAATATCCCACTCATCGCTGATTGTCATGTACCTGGAACAGAAAAAGAAACAGTCCAGCAACAGTCACAGTGGCACTACCCCATGGCTCCCCCCCAGGCAGGACAGCCACTCCCACCTAACATCGGCTAAGTGTCACAATTGATCTGAGTTTCTACAGCAGCTCATCAACATGGTAACCAAATAACAGGCTCGAGGACCTGCTGTGCTACACCCGCCTGTCCTCCTAAGCAGGGAAAGGACGAGTTGCTACTGGTAATGCTGACGAGGGGATGCTGGTGGTGAGGGGGTGCTACTGGCCAGTATGAGGGCCAGGGATGTGGAATATCCTGCATGGTCCAACCAGAGGATGGAACAACCCAGAAGGCCAGGAGCACTGCACCCCCCCCCCC